GAATTTTTTTCTATGGGAGATATATCTGTAAAAATTACTTGAGGAATTATGTGAGCACTTTTTTATTTATTTTTTTAAATAGACAGTAATCGTAATAATTTAGGAAAATATTCTTCATAATCTAATGTTTTATTGAATTTTAGGTACTTTGGTTTTAAATTTATCATAGTTACCATTTTTATTTTCTGATAATGTAGTGTATTTACAAAAATCAGCATCTTTATACACATAATAAAAAATCAAAATTCTCTTTTAAAATACTGGTAATTGCAGAATTGTAGTAAGCTTTTCCATTTATGATTTATATTTATTAATAGTATCATCTAACTGGAACAAATTATTACAGAATGTTTAAAATATTTAAAACTTTATAAATTATTCTAATTAAAATTTAAAAATAAAAATGAAAACAATTCTTGTAAAAATTCATTATTCATTGAAAAATTGTTTTCTTAAGTGTCCATAATATATTTTATTCATAAAAGCAATTAAATAATGTCTTAGTTTTATTGCATTTTTATTTTATGATTCAGAGCAGATTTTTGGTAACTCTTGGTCCTGTTTTACAAATAAAATTGACTTAAATTTTCTAAGAAGTTCTGTTTATAACTAATATAAACATTAAGCAATACAAAAATGAATTTCTCAAAATTTCATGAAATTAAATAAGTGGAGGTGGGGTAAGAGATGAAAAAAAAAACAAGATTTTCTTACAAAAAAACTTTCTAAAATAATTTCATCAATTTGTCAATTAATTCCTGAAAGTTTTATTAAAATCTGACAGTTATTTGATTTTTACACCATGAAAAAGATACTAAAATTTCATATACTAATTTCTGGTCCCTTGCTGACACAAGAAAAACAAAAGTTTTGAACATTCTAAAAAGGATAAAAAAGGATTATTTAATAATAAAAAATCTTTTGGTCTTTCCTCTTAATAATAACAAAGATTTTGATGATAAAACTTTATTTTTATTAAGTTTGGGGCATTTTTTTCATCATGTATGCTATTTTTTTAGTGAATCTTTGGAGGTACTGATATTGATATATACCTTTTTCATATTTTGAATTATGTATATAGATACTCACTAGATGTGAATATATTTTTAAAAAATGTTCAACAGGTTAATGTTGTTTGGATCAAATAAAAAGTGATCAGTTTCAAGAAAATTTGCCACAGTCATAAAAGCAACAAAAAATCTTTATTATGTCTGATAAAGTGAAAACAAAATGTTTAATCAAATAGGAAATGGAAAAAATAGGATGAAAATCCTGCTCCTTGTCATTCATCCTCTGAATTTTAGAGTAGATGAGAAAATTTAAATTTTATTTGTTCAATTTTTTAAAATTATAAGAAAATTGCAATCCCAAAATGTAATCCATTCCAGAAATTTATCTAACACAATAGATAGATATACAGGGTGTCCAAAATTAACTGTACAAATTTCACAGTTTATTGTATCCATTAAAATTAAGATCTTTAATTATACTTCTTTGTGTGTGAAAGAAATATTATTAAAGTTTTAATTTATGTACAGTGTTTTTTTTATTTTTTTTAATTCATTTTTGTTTATCTTTTCAAGTAGATGCTAAAAGTGCTTATTATTGTTTCTTGACTTATAATGAAAATGACCACACTGCAATGAAAGTGTGATGTGTATCCTGGTTCATAGTGACCAAATTGGACACTCCAACCCAGTGCCATTACAGTAAAAAGTATGAAAAAAAACCCCCCAAAAACACCCACTGTCACATCAGCATCTGTGCTAGACACAAGAGTTTTATGGAAAGTCTTGCAGAAAACAGAAATGAGCATTGTCTAGATGTGTTGCGCATAAAAAATGCAGCACATTTGGAAGTGTTTGATGTGTTTAAATAAATCTTTATTTACTCACCTCTACAGGGTTTATTGGAAAAATATATAAATATATATCTTCATTTTTTATGAATTTTTAAAATTGTACAGATAATTTATAGACGCTCTGTATTATAAATTAACATTCCTATTTAAATTCTATCAAATTGTTGCCATTTTTCAAGTACACATGCATTTCTCTATTTTTACTAAATTTACACTTTATTTTCATTTTGGATACTAAACAAGCTGTACAACTTTTGATGTGACAGAAAAACGTTTTTCTTTTTTTGTTAACAACTAGCTGTGATGCTGTGAAACTAAGTAATGCAGATTTTACAAGAAAGTGACTGTAATATTGAATATCTTATTAACTGTTAATTGGACCCAGTGCTAACACTGTTACTAAAATGCAACCTTTTTTCAAATTAGATTCTGCAAGCAAATCTACATTCAGTGATCAAAAATTAACATGAAAAATCCAAGAATGCAATTGTTTTTCCTTGCAAAATAAAAACTTTTTTTTATTTCAAAGGAACCAGAGTTAGAATGAGAATTTGAAATTTGAAACCTCAGTTTTTTTTGTAAAAACAAGCCACTTAGAAAGTTAAAAACAGCAAGAAAAGAAAATAATTTTGACAAGTGATTGATTATCACTTCCTTTCTATTCCTTCCAAGAAAATTATGTGGCTCTGAGATTACTAAGAAGCACTTTGTTAAGAAATTAATGTCCTTTTGAAATGTTTACCTAATTCAGAATCTAAGATTTCAGATTATTATTATTTTGCCATGGTTTTGAAATGCTTGGGAAGCATCTGGTTTTTGCCTTGGAATAGAGATATCTTTGTTCCAAATGGTGGAATCTACAAATCTTTTGTAATTTTACAATTTTGCCTACACAGAAATTAGGGGCTTGAAAAATGCTAATGGCTAGAATTTCCTAACTGGTCAAAAATAGATTGCCAGACCAACTGAAAGAGTGGTACTGAGAGTATTGACCAAGTTTGAAATATAGATAAACATTGTCAAGAATACCTAATGAGAAGTTATAAGGTTATTAATTTTATCCTTCTGACTATATGCACCCTTGTACTTATAGATTTCTGATAGAGCTAGGATTTTCATCCGAGAGTGTCTATCCCAGTCTCCTGCAGCAGATGCCCAACTAGACTAATACAAAAGATGACAAGAAAGTTTGAAGAAGAGAAAAAGAAAGACAGACCCCAATTTAAATTCTCAACCGATGACACATTCTGAAAAGGAGACAAATTCTGAAGGCAGGAAACAGAAGTTTGTGGATGACTTCTGGATTAAAGACCTGAAACCACAATGCCCTGCATTGTTATAATTTTTCATTTCTTTTGGCATAGTAGGTTCTTTCTGTCTTATAGAAGAAGACTTGGAAGAAAATTGATCAACTGATTGCAATTAGATACAACATTACTTTTGACTGAGAAAGTGTTAAGAAAATCTATTGTAAAATGGAGTGCAAGGTTTTATAGCATGAGTAACTTGCTTTTACTGATTCAATACTTGTATTATAAGAATTTATCTTTTGTCATCTGGTACTCATTTTGTCAAATGTTTCAGCCAACACTATCTGAAGTCATCTTCAGATTTTAAAATATAGTTGAAGAGGGTGGCAATTAGTTAGATATCTACAGGTCATGTGATTGCAAGATATTTTCATTATGGTCAGTCATCATGAAAACAATATAGTTCTTTATGTTTGGTTAGCTGATTTTGTTTAGTACTATATCAACCTCTAGTATTTCTTAACCTTTTTAAGCAATGGCACACGTAGGAGCAAATGAAAATATAATGACACAGCAAAATTTTTAAAGGGTATACATTTAAACATGAAATACTTGTGTGTGTATTTTTTAAAAAATACACGCACAAATATGAATTTACTTTATTTCAATGTTTCTATTCAAATATTTGTGCAGTTTATTTAATGTGAAACATGTGTCTGGTGTTTTTTCATAATTTCTTCAATATTTGATTGAATGTTCAATAAGAAGACCCTCATTTCTTCTTCAGTTGAGCATAGTCTTTCTCGCTTCTTATTTTTGATGTTATTTAGGATTGAGAAGCCTAATTCACATAAATAAGAGGTAGAAACTTCTAATAAAACTGATAAAGCCTTTTAAACTAATGTGGATTATTCCTTTTGTATTGAAATCCAAAATGTATCAATGGCTAGAGTCAAATCTCTATTTTAAGCCCTTGATCTTTAGAAATAATTGAAGCCCAATAATTGAAGGAATATTTAAGGGATTTTGAATCCAGTCATATTTTTGGTTGAGAATTACTGCTCTATGCTTTATTTAATGATGAAATCTAAATATTTTGAATGTACTTGTATGCCTTCAACTACAGACAAAATGTATTGTTGGTAATTTTACTATAAATGTACATTCTTAGTCTTTTTACTATAAATATGTATTGTTATTAATTTCTTATATAAAAATGTTTTGCTGATATTTTTAGTATAAAAATGTATTTTTCTACTTTCATTGTGTTTTGTTTTTCTTTTTGCTTGGTGATTCACTATTTGCCTATAATTTGGACCCTAACAGGTCCTACCATCCCAGGTCATGCTGGGCCTGGGGAACAACAGAAATTAAGAGGTGGTTCCACATTCCTCTAAACCTCCAATCTCCCAATCTAGCTGCCAGATGTAGTTGATCATCATACACAGAACTGCATAATGTTTGGGATTTGTATAAGAACAAAATATTACCTTATCAAATGGAAATTCTTGACTTAAACAAAAATACCTAGGATTATTTTGCAGTGTGCAGCAAATAAGCTCTAGCTTGCTAAAAATGTTCCATACAAAATAGGCATTTAAAATTCATATAAACTGGATTTGGCATTAAATAACCCACAGTGGTTGATATGCCATAAAACCCAAACAAACAAACAAAGATAAAATAAAACTAAAGAAACCAGTATGAATAGATTTTCTCTGTGTCATTGTTTTAACCTAATTGAGAAAAAAATGCAGCTTTATATTTGAGTACATTATCTGCATTAAGATTGTTCTAGACAGAAATAAGTGAAAAATTTGATATATGTAATCGTCTTTTTACATTATTAACATAGTTTTTCTATTAAATATTTTCTTTTAATTTTTCAGGTCCTGCTCTGCTGACTAGAAAACTTTTCAAACTTGGTGCTCGACAAATTATTGGAATTGAAAGGAAAAAAGAGTTTTTACCTTATTTAAAAGTAATTCACTTTAAATAGATTATAAGATTATTGCTTGTTTTTATGATCTGTAATCCTAATTTATTTTTGAAATGTCTTTCCAGACAGGCAGTTTCTCAACATCCTTATACAATGGGAGTGATAGCTATATTCTTTACAAAGAATTAAATTTATTCATAGGCTATTTGATTAAAAGCTGAGAATCTATTTGAAGAAAAAAAAAGGCAACCTGTTTTATACAACATGGCCAAAATGTTGCAATTGATTTGCTATAAATCTACATTAATTTCTGTTTGAATTTCTAGGATGAGTTTTACATTTGGACTAATATCCTCATCTTTATTGTTATCGTCTGAGCATTTTGGCTGTTGTGCTCTTGTAGCAGTTACTAGATAAAAACAAGACAAGATATCCCTTGACATGGACAGTAGAATGAGAACACTCTTCTCCAGCACATTAAATAAAAGGTTCAGTTTAAAATCCCTTGAAGGTTACTCTGATTTACAAATAACTAAAGAAGGTCAGAGGTAACAGAGACTGAAACATTTTGTTAATAACTACAAAGATTAAAAAATTAGTTCAAGTGTAAATAAAGCTTCATTTATTTATTCAATTATCTGAGTTAACAATTGGGACAAAAAAGCATTGATGATAAAATAGTGTCTGACATGAAAGTACACACAAAGTAGAAGTGTTTCATTGAATTCCTTCATGTGTAAAAATTTGCATTCACTGACACACTGCAGAACATTTACTGTTAGGGAATGCTAACTTACTTCCACTATAAAGGACAATAACTCAAAATACAATGGAATTACTTCCCTTGTATGGGAGATCAGTGCAGCACTTGAATGGTGATAAGCTGACACACACATGGAACTCATCTTTTAAATCCAAACAATCCTTGCTGTTCTCAGGCAGTAAATGAATAAAAGTTATTTTATTATGTGTTAAAATACACTTGTCTTTTATTTTCATTTGGTTTTGTTCATCCCAACAACCTAGGATATAACAGAAATAAAGACCAAATAGTTGATGTAAGCACTGTTAAGTAGTGGATGTTTCATTTCAGAAGTAGTGATAGTGATGTGTGCAAAGCGTCACATTCTAAGCAATCCTCCTACAGTTGTCAGCCCATAAAATAAAGATTGCCTTGAAAATGCATAACCAATGGCAGTAACTATATGAAAAATGAATGTTTTGTAGCTGAAAAATTGCTCTACTCAGTATTATTTATTTGTGTTATTGTACTCCCTGTATCTGTTATAATTTCTGTAGAAATAAACATATAATAATGACACTTTTTGTTTGTTTCTCTGTCCATGACAATAGACTTGTCCACTGTTAAGTAACTATTAGCAATCTGGTCTCACTGATAGATTAGTATTAATAATGAAAAAATTTATAGTTATTATAACACAATGCATGCTTGATGCCACTCAAAACAAGCAAGTATATTGCAATAACAATGGAATTTTGAATTTTAAAAAATGATCATCTTAATATGACAATATATTTGAATTTTTTTCCAGTTATTATTGTTCTCTCTTTTCTTTCATATCCCATCTTTTCATTTGTCAACTTTGTAAACATTTTGGAAAATCTTGAATTAACCTTTTACACTAGAAAGACAAGTGCAAGGGAGATAGCACAGCAAATTGTTACAGGTATTATAGACAAAAACACTTTGTATATTATATAGTAAGATATATAATATCCATTTTAATCAATTCACCCCAAGCAAGGTGGTAATGTTACTAAGATGCAAGGGCCTACTAGGAGTTAAAGAGACTGAGTAAACATTCAAAGGAACCAAAAACCCAATCCTAAACAGGGAATGAGGGATAAATCTTTATACCTGTCCATATATATAATCTTAATAATATATAAATAAATATAATAAAGAATAGTTTATAATGTTTGCATCTTTATAATTTTAATTTTCTGTATTATTACATTTTTAGAATGTCCAAGAAACTTTTGGTCGGGATAAATTTGTTTTCTACAACTGGGATCCTTTCATGGGAAACTTGACTGATATGAGAAAAATGGATAAACTTCATCAAAATGAAATGAAGAGTTTTCACAATATAAAGTCCCAACAATGGGCCAATGGTAAGATCTTTTTACCATATTGCCTTTTTTTTCTTTTTTTTTCCATTTTCTTTCCTTCCTGCTTACAAATAGTAGTGTTTACAAACAGAAATAAACTATGTGCACTTAGTTCAATAACAAACATATGATGATTATACACTTTCTGTTTTTATTATTCATGAATATTACAACAAAGCATTTAACAAAGGACTTACTGCACTTTTCTATGCAAAATTCCTCTTACATTTAGATTAACATATGCAAAATTGTCCCTAGTCTTCTTCAGAGAATTATAAGAAATTGTGTTTGATATTATTTGTTATTTAATTCTTTTGTTGTTGGAGATCTTTCAATGATTTGTTTACTATATTTGTCGTTCATTATTATCTTGAGTTCATCTTTTTCTTTTTATGTATCATGTTCTTTCAGGATGTAGGTGATCATGGCTCTCCACTTCCCCCTATCCTTTGTCGTTCTCACTAAGTTTTGTCCCTCTGTCACCACCCTCAGACCACGTTCTGTTATCCACTTGCTTAAGTCCACCAGGTATGTCATGCCTTGTCCCTCTTTCCCTCTATTCTACCTGTGAGTATCAGATTCTCCAAGCCCTCTTTTCTCATTACATGTCCCAGAAACTTCATCTGCCTCTTCCTGATGTTAAGTATAAGCCTCCTCCTTGTTTGCATCCTCTCCAAAACCTCCTCATTGATCACATGCTTGGTCCATGATATCCTCAGCATTCTTCTGTAAAACCATATCTCTGTCGCCTCAAGTCTCTACTTAATCTTTGCTGTAAAGGAGAACAGATCTCCTGTAACAGCTCAGTGGTCTTTGTTACCAAAGAAATCTTCCTGTCTCACAAAACTCTGCCCAGCTTTAGGAATCCATCCATGGCCATCCCAATACGTCTATGGATCTCAGTGTCACACTTAGTGTCTTCTGTCAAAACACTTCCCAGATATTTAAACTTCCATACCTGCTTGATTTTAGTGTCCCCAACCTGCAAGTCACATTTTTGGCCCATCCTTTTACTATATGACCATGCTTTCTGTCTTCTTGTAGTTTTTGCTTAGTCCCTTCTTCTTGCTCTCCTTTGTTACCTTCTGTAGGAAGTTTTGTAATTTCTTTTCCATCTCTGCTATCAGTACTGTGTCATTTGCGTATCTTATATTGTTAAGATTGTGGCCACCAATGCTAAATCCCGGTAGGATTTCCAATTCTCTCAGAATTGCCTCGCTGTATAACTTGAATAGGTTTGTTGAGAAGAAACATCCTTGCCTTACACCCTTTTCTATTTTTGTATATTCACTTAACTCATTCTATATGCGCATGCAAGCTGTTTGCTGCCAGTATAGGTTCTTGATTATTCTAATATCTTTCCCAAATATATCAAGGTTGCTGAGCAGTTCCAACAGATCATTGTGATGTACTGTGTCAAAGGCCTATGAAACACAGGTACATATCCTTCTGCATTTGTATTTCTCTTTCTGATAACATTCTGAGCATGAATATTGCATTCCTTGTTCCGATGTCTTTAACGAACCCGCACTATTCTCGTCCTATCTCTGGCCTGATTCTGCTGTGCGCTCTATTCATCAGAATATGGATGATAACTTTTGTTACGTGGCTCATTAGGCTGATTGTTCGGTGGGGTTCACATTCGTTTGGGCCTGTTTTTTTAGGCATTGCTATGAATATAGATCTGCTGAGATCTTCCAGTATATCCCCACTGTTGTAGATTTCATTTATTATTTCTGTGATATTGTCTATGCCAAAGTCATCTAAGGTTGTCAGCATTTCCATTACAATTCCATCTGGCCCTGCCTCCTTGTTTCTGTTCAGAAAGAGTTCTCCAATATACTCACTCCAGTGTTGAAAAATTTTTTCCTTCTCTAATTTAAGCATTACATCCTTTGATTTTAAGCAGCCTATTGATGAGCACGTCTTCTGTCCTGTTAGTTGCCTTATTTATTTGTGCATATCTCCTTTGTTTGTGGTACTCAATCTCTCTATTTCTGCACATTTTTTGTTTAGCCTTTCTTCTTTAGCCTGCCTGCATTTGGTCCTTATTTCATTGTGTAATTTTCTGTATTCTCTTCCGTATCATGGCAGAGTTTTTTGTCTCCTTTCCATTATGTCGAGAATCTCATCAGTCATCTATTAGTTTTTTTCCTTCTTCATCCCTTCTTCTTTGGGATGATATCATTTGCTGATGTCAATAACGCGTCTCTTAGTGCGTCCTCATTTCAAGTTTCCATTCTCTCCTTTGTATCTTTTTTTCACATTGTCCATATATTTTTTTTTAGGTTCAGGTTGCTCAGAGTTTGTTGTATTGCAATTTGGGTGCTGCATTAGGCTTCTTCAATTTGCACAGTTTCACTCTTAGTTTAGATATAACAGAGCAATGATTGCTTCTGCAGTCGACACTTGGGTAGGTTTTGCAGTGAATCATTGCATTCTTGAATCTTTTGTTGATAGTTAAAAGCTTATGTGTTTCTGTTTGAATTTCTGCAATGAAGAATTATCATTATTTCCATTATTTTCAGCTTTGTTCTTATTATCACTACACTTTGTTTTTTTCTTGGAACTGCTGGATGTTCATGTTTCAGCTGATGTGAAGAATCCTTTCTTTCATGACGACATGTATTGCTCTTTTCACTACCCTTTATGCTCTCCTGAAACTGAACAATGTCTTGATTGATAAGCCAGGTGGAATTAGCTTTAGGTCTCTACATATAGGAATGTCAACATTTAATGTTGTTTTTTCTGACCTCCTCTATTGTTGTATCACATTGGAGCAGTATTGATTTGATAATTTCTAACTGAATACCAAGGATCAAGAGCTATCATTGTAAACATTTACAATCAGACTAATATCCTCATCTTATTTCTTCTTATATGTTTGTTCTTAGTTATATTAGAACAGTAAATTGCCATTGCCTATGATTCTGTGTTACCATATGTTATTTGCTTTTATTTTTATTCTATTTTATAAATTATGCTTAAGAAATTTCTTTTGTGCAGTGGAGATTAAATAATGGAAAAATCCAAACGGTAAGAAAGAAATAATTCTTTTTCTTGGAAAAGGCAGAACAATGAACAATAGTTTCAGAAAAATAGTTTATTATTATTATTATTTTTTTGTTTTGAATTTTGGTTGTTTCGTAATTGAGTCATAATTTTACCTTTTTGAAAATGAGGATGAACTTAGAGTAGACTCTGATAATTTGGATCTTTGGTAACAATTGACACCCCAAATATTTCACTCCTATAACTGAAGCCCATATTCGTACAGAAAATGACAATAAATTGTAACATTTTTAAACAAATTAATTGTTGGTTTAAAGCACTCATGTTTCAAAATACTTTAATGACAATCTTATCTGAGTTCATGGAATTTGATGAATCATCTGTATTTGAATGAGATTAATTACTTGAATGTCTATCAAACATCTTTTTATCTCCCTTTTGGCTTTCAAAAATATGTTTTATACATGAATGAGTTCTTTTTATTTGTATGTTTTAAAAATCTTGATATGTTATTGATGTGCAGGTTGCGTAATGGTTATTTACAAAAAAAGCGGAATTGATGAACAGAATTCAAATTTCAGGCATAATAGCCTGAAATTTGAATTCTGTTCATCAATTCACTTCATTTCATGCATTCACTTTCACACAGATACTCTTGAGAAAGGCTAGAATCTGTCTCTTCTTGCTCTCCTTCCCAGCTATGGATTAAATAGCAGAGTAGACTGGTCACACTGAATTGGGTGACAACCAGTCTAAGAAAAGGAAAACTCTGAATTCTAAACCATGGAGAAGGTAATGTGAAACCACTCCATTGTCTTTCCCAAAGATACATGGTAATTCACAGATAATAAAGAAAAGGAAGCTGTGGTGAGTCATGATTGCCTACATCCTAAAGGTACATGATATTTTTTAAAAAATTATTATTTCCAAGAAGCATTCAATATATTCTTTCAGTGTAAAATTGCCTGTCAGATGTTATCAAATAAGGTTAATTCTAAGAAGAATTATTTGGGCCCCAATTCCTTAATGAAACTTTTTGTACTATCCATTATTTGGGTTTGATTTATTGGAAGTCTTTTATTTGCCCATTTATTTCTTTTTTACTACATAGTATGTGTTTCTGTGTTTATTTTATTACATATTGTGGTGATATTCAAATTACCACTGATAACACAAAACAAAAAACTACAAAAGACCAATGCTATAAAGAAGGAAAAATTGCAACCTTACCTTTTCTTAGTCTTCAGGGTGTTGCAGCTTGTTGTCTTACAAACTGCAGCTTGTGCCTTGTAATTCTTTATAGTGTAATAGTTTAGCTATTATAAACAATTTTGCTGTAGAGGGGAAATCCTTACAGCAGGAAACAACAGAACAAATAGAGAAGCAGAAAGAGGTAAGCAAGCAAAAATTATAGAATATTTACAAACATCCTAGTCACATGCTAAGGAATGACAATGATTGGTCTATGTAAGATATAAAGAGTTGGAAGAATCACTATTTGGATTCTCCAATTACAAAAAAAGACAAGATCAGAAAGAACTATAATCATCCCACAATACAACAAATGACCTGACCTTGTAAGTTAAAATAAATTCTTATAATAGTCTGTGTTTATTTTATTACCTTACATAGTCCATGTTTATTTTACTACCTTACATAGTCCATGTTTATTTTATTGCATAGTTTGTGTTTATTTTACTACATAGTGTTTATTTAATAATTAACGTCTAATATTTTTTTGTTTTTTATAATCAAACTTGAGCATTCAAATAATTCCAGCAATTGTCTGTTTTTTGACATTGAGACATTACTGTAAGTAAGTGATTTTCTCTTTGTTGATTGTCTGGCTCATCCAAGAAATTGTCTCTTGTAAATAAAAATAGTTACAATAGAACTAAACTAAATTAACCAATACTTTACAATTCAACTATATCTGAAATATATTATTTATGCCCATACTTATTCACAAACAATGCTAAAAATAAGGTTTTGCCACTATTTTTTTTGTCTTTGATTCCAGATCCTTATGCAAGTATTGTTGGAATCTTAAACCCTTTAAAATCCCAAGTATTCCTTAACCTTCTGCAAATCTTCCTTGGTAGTAAAGAAAGTCTATACAGTTATGGTCGACCTGAGATGTTTCTTCTTGTTCCTGTTAAAAATTATCGTGTAAGTTGTATCTATATATCACATCTATTTGTTCAATTTTTGTAATCCTTGGACTATGTTACCATTAAATAGGAAAAATTACTTTATTTAGCATACATTTAATTAGATAATTTTTATTTAAATAAACATAATTTATTAAAATTTAAAAAAAAAAAGGAATCTATGCTAATATAAATGAGGCTGACCTCCCACTATAATCCTGACCTAAACATGATTAAAGAAAGAGAAATCTGGACTGAACATGCCCCCCACTTTATTGTTTTAGTGAATAAAAGAAGTGGACACATGTTGAAGTATAATTTTGTCATCTTTGACTGGGTCGATTTAACACCAGGACAATTTTGAGAAGCAGTTTTGAATATAAAAACTGTTATTGTCCTTGGGTGCCATCTTGTTTGTCAGATATTGTTCCTTGCAACTTCTCTTTCTTTCCTAGAATCAAATTTTTTATAAATGCAATGAAGAAATCAATGATATTAATAGAAATATTTGGAACAACCATTAGCAACTTGTAAACATAAATTCACAATAGATGTACTTTCAAGATCGTTTTTGTTGATATTTTTTTTAATTTAGTAAAATAATAATATTTGATAATTTTTTTTATATCAAACTTTGTTTATATTCTATGTCTTAAACTATGCACAAAATGTATATGCAGAAATATGAAACCGATTGTTTTTCTCTTTCAAGATAGATGAGAGAGAGATGAGCAAATCAATTATATTCAACTTGTCTTAATGAACAGTAGACATTAGTAATAAAATATTATTCAATATGTTATAGACAAGCGTATGGTTGCAAGAAAGAAATACAACAACAGTAGAAATGTGTGGTTTTGGGACAGCTACCTTGTGGTATAGTTCATAAACCGGCTGAAGATTTGGGTTGATCTCTCATAGTAGTTCTTGCTGGTTGGCGTGGTGCTACTGCTGCTGGCTGCTGCTGACCGCTCAGCCTGACTGTGACAGGTCTCTTTCCTGGCCTCATGTTGACTGCCGTTGTACTTCCATGTGAGCCCTTTTATGGCGTTTTTTATGGCTTAACAGGCTCAAAAAACAACGAGTATAATTAAGAGGGACTTGTGCGTCAGGAACATGTGTAAATGAAGATAATGGTCATTTTGTGACGGGGCCTTGTCTTGAGTATGTTAGTTTATTTGCCTGTAAATCAGCCGAGATATGTCATTTTATTTTATAACAAATATAAATAATTACTTTACTGCTATGAATTAGTAAATCACCCTGTTTTTTTGCATGCATGCCACTTTCAAATTTTTTAAATTAAAAAATGACAAAATTTCTTTTTGATTTGCCAAAATCTGTTTTTCAGTTGATGATTGTGAAAGATCCAACCCAGGAATTATGGACTTATGGCAGGGTCAGCAGTATCTGGAATTTGTTTTTTGACATTGAGACATTACTGGAGGTAAGTGATTTTTTTTTCTCTGGTTATTTTTATTCTCTTCATTTTCATATTGCAGTGAAATCTCAGTACAACTTTTGTGTTTAGAATTTTTTCCCATCTTTTGAAATGTCTGAGAAAGATGAATGGTATAGAGACTTTAACTCCTTGTGACCCCCAACAAGAAATCAGAGTTACTACAAGTTGTTATTTAGAAATTAAAACTCAATGAAATTAAACAACGTGTGTGTTGTGAAGAGGAACTTTCTTAGGTCCCTAAAAGTCTTCAAGTAAGGTGTTACAACTTTTAAATTTCCATAGATTGCTTTAATATGCTTTGTTAAAGTTTCTTAGGTTAAAGAAATACTAAACAACCATCTACTAGTTACTTGTAGCTATTATCCAAAATAAAAGTAAAAGAAAAACTACTGGTAACTTGTAGCTGTTATCCAAAATAAAAGTAAAAAAAAAATAATATTCACTAAAATATTGCTGTGTCAAATGATTGGACTTGGATGAAGTGACATCTAAGTGGAGTATCCAAAAAACAAGATAAATAAGAGCGGTTCAAATTCTACTTGAAATTCAAGTAGAAAATCAACCAAAAAGATTTTCTGCACTTTCTTGTCTCACCAAATAATCTTAAAAAAAGTGAAGTTTGAATGAAGTCTTAAAGTGTTGAGCCTAGTTACTTGCAAATCATGTCAAACAAAATAAAGGTAAAAATACTCTGACTGTCTCAATTCTGAGTCAGGTCTTGTCAGACTAGATCCATATATAATAAAAATCACATAGGCAAATGAAATCATTTTTATAAATACAAGAAAAACCAAGAGAACCAAACAAGACAGTACCCTCATTCAAAACCAAATTGAATGATCCTACCTTATATTTAGAATAATTCTTACAAGTATTTTGTAGCCTTTAGATACAAGTGTTTGTTGTTGGTTAAAAATATCCCAATTATGTTACCCTTTCATTGTGAATAATAAAATTAGTTTTGTTTTGCACAAAGCCTCTAAAAAAACAAGACTCAAATGACAAAAAGCTTAGCATTAATAAATGGGGAAAGGTGAATACGTTGATCCTTTCACCATTTTTCACTTTGATTTTAGTCATTCTGATTGGACACCCGTCATTTTCATCGGTCATATTTTTTTCATCATTTCACCCTAAGCAAAGCAATAAAGACACTAAAATGCAAAAGAGGTTACTGAGTGTGAGAGAATGAGAAAAAGAAAAACACTATTAAGGAGTGAGAAAAATAAAAGAACAGGAATTAAGATGAAAGAAGATAACATTTAAATTTTTGAAGATCAAAGTTGACTGGAATGCAAGAAGCCAAAGGAGAGTTCCACAAGTGAGATGTCCAAGAGAAGAAACTGTTAGCATAGAACTTAGTTACATCTAACCATTGCAATTGTGAAATGATGAGACCTAGCTATCAATCTAGTACTGTACTTAAATTTGTAAAGTCAAAGTACCAAAGATGATTATATATATATATATATTATATAAATCTTATAAATATGAAGACCATAAAAGTTATTCTTGTTAGTATATTATACATTAATTTTACAAGTTTATATCATTTTAAAAATAGTGTTTTTTTTTTCTTTTCAGATTCACAAGTCTGATGTTTTCCCACCTTTTCCAGCCAAGAGACATCTTCGATGTGTAAGTAATTTCTCATTTTTTTTATTTATCTGAATAATTAGCAAATTATTTTTTTATTTGTTATCTGAACTGTTCATTTGTTTTTTATGAGTATAAAATTATTTAATATTCGCATGATTCAAATCTGCTTTGATATCATTTTTTCTATTTTATTTATTTTTTCTTTATCTCTAAAAATAGATTTGTAACCTTTTCTTATATTTTATCAATTTTCTTTCAATCAGATTTTATGTGTAAATAGAACCAATGATTCTTTTTTTTTTTAAACCTAGGAATCAAGACATTCAGTATTTTTGATATTGCAAATAAATAATTTAACACAATCTGTAAATTATCATTAAAAATAAAGAAAAGTTTTGCTTGTACATCAGAATAAATAATTCTGAAATAATTTAATTTTTAATATTTGTGATCAAATAAAAATTGTTAGCAAATCAATAAAAAAAATAATTTTTAATGGCATCATTTTAAAGAGAGAACATCAAATTTATTCTAAATTAAAAATCACTGCTCCCTCCACAAATAAAGGGATATTAATAAAAATGTTAATTTCTCATGTAAATGTTTATGCTTAATATTAATTTCAGTTACTTTTTGCAACTCTCTAACCATCATTAATCAATAAGAATTGCGATGGAAAGGAACTGAAATTAAGATAAAAACATTATTTAAAAAATCGATTCACAATTTTTCATTTAAATTAAAAAAGAATGTTTTTTTTTAAGAAATTGTCATAAATATCTAAGCTGAATTTTTTAGTCATCTTTATATTCTTAGGTGCCTAATAGATGGGGGATTTTGAGTTTTTATTTTGAAACATTGCAGGGGAGGGGGAATTCCAAAGAGGGAATGTGTGACATTTGGAAATCCTACTTTTACCCATGAATTAAGATGCACATTACAAGAAAGTACTGCATCTGGTTCATGATGATGCAAGATCAGAAAGCTATTTTCATATGAAATTGAAAAGTTCTCATTTATAAGATGCCAGACATTGAAGTGTATATGTAAATCAGTCCAAGAATGACAGGGTGATATCTTCATCAAATGGATTATCAAGCAACCAGAAGAAAGCCACTTCAATTTTGGTTATGGCATTGGGGACAAAACCATTATTTTATTTATTTATTTATATATATATATATAGATATATTTCAATTAAAAGGTGCAAATATAATTTATAAATTCATGAATCATTCATACAACAAACAAATATAGAGGTTAATGATTTAAATGGCAAGAATACATCGTCGCAAACTATATAAATAAGATACATCAACCCCGAACCTGTATATGAATGATATGATCCCCATTTATAAATTCCAGTTGCATTAAGGTCTTTTTAATTTTTACAAGCTTTCGTCTGTTCTTACACTTGCCCCTACATTTCAACTTGATTGCTTCCTTCAGTTGTCTTAATTCTGATGCATAGTAATATCCAGTAATAGATTTTCCCTTTTTATGATTACACCTTCATAATCCTAAACAAACAGAAGCCAGCAGATGTTTGCCTGCTTGAATTTCCTTGCGGATGGATAACCAGAGTGTTTCCACTGTTTGCTTTGAATCATTGAGTGGTGAACCCAGGTTTCATCTTGTGTTACTAATCTACGGTGGAAATTCTCAGGGTCAGCCTAGAGTAAGAAGTGTCCTGGAAATATCAACCCTTTTCAGCTTTTGCTCTGGTGTCAGCATCTTGCAAACAGCTTGCTCATTCCCAAGATCTCAGTTAAAACAGTATGCACTGAACTAGAACTAATGCATGAGGACTTAGCTATTTACTGGACAGTAAGACGTCTGTCATCCAAAACCATATGGTCAATGGCATCAACTTGTTCATCAGTAGTTGCGGTTTTTGGCATCCCCTGCCCGCTTGAATTCTGCAGCCCACTTGTTCACAGTTGAATAGAAAGAGGAGTCCTTTGCAAATGTCTGTACCTTGTCATCATTTATTTCCTTGGGTTTTAGCCTTTACTTTGCAGATACCTTATGAATGCTTGGGCCTGTTTTGTCCATTCTTAGATTTGTCACACACCTCTCACCATTGCATGGATCTCACCTGCACAGAAATTAAGACAGAAATCTGAATTAGTTTTTCTAGTTTTATAAGAAGTGGTAGTGTGTTGCCACAACAAAAATGTTCAACTATGGCTCTTCTTTCTGGATAAGGTTTAGAACTTTTTGAATGACCTATAAGGATCATCCAAAAAGTTCAGAGTCGGAGATTAGCAGTGGAGCAGTCAGAATTCTTGCTGGCTGAAGGGAAGATCTGGTCTGTTAATCTGTTGTGAGAGAAGTGATGATGTCCCAAGTGTCACCTACCCACCCCCAAACTTTATCAGGTAAATCCATGCATGAAGAAGACAGTATATCGAAAACAGTATTCAGGTTTTCTTTTCTCATTCTGGCAATATCTCAAATTCCATTTCTTTGTTGAGCTTATATAAGACACTTTTCCATTTTTGTTCAGACTGACACAAATGGGGATTGAAAGACATCGCAAGGTGAAGTTGCCCAGTTGATGAAAGACTAACCAAAGCCTGTACTCATATTTACACTTACAATTTTAATTAGTGAATCTCAAAATCTGGTCCACTGTCAACTATATTCTTCATAAATCTGAAAGAATGCCTTTGTAAACTTTTTCCTTCATTGTCTTTTTTATTCTTTGTATTCAAAAAAATTAATTATTCAGAGAAATTAAAACAATTCCATTTAATTGAAGTCTTTTTGTTGAAAGTATTTGTGTGTAAATTTATTTTCATTTAAGCAATCACATCCATTTGAAGAATTTTTCTTTTATTTTCAGGAATCAAAAGCTTTTGGAACAGTAAATAAAGATTCTCTCTATCTTGTCAAAATTATTCCAAAAAAATACTTGAATCCAGTTACCAACTGTTCTGAAGAATATTCCAGATTTTTTACTTTCTTGAGTCAAATTACAAAGAACAAAAGTCATCGATTAATACCAAAACTGGAGTAAGTAAATGTTGTCTCCAAGTTTCTAAAATTTATTTTATGTCTTGGAATGATTATTCTTTTTCAATAAACATCCACCCTTCTTCCAACCCAAATGTTTTATTAAATATTCAGCCAATTTCTTCCCACCCTTTGTTTGGTTGTGAGCATTTAAAAATAAAACTTTTCATTATTGAAAATTATTAAAAAATGATTTTTAAAAATCAGCAACTTCTTTTATTTTAAACATTGATTTGAAACTTGAATGTTTTCATGTCAGCAAAAATTAGATGATGTCCAATTTATTAAAGAGATTGGAATCAAATCGGTCTTGAAGAAATTCTCATACGAAGAATTTCCCTTTTTGTTTCTTGCAGAAGTTGGATTCCTGGTTCTGGTTTACACCTGATACGAATGGGTTTTAATATGTTACATGTGACAGGTGACATTCTTCCACACAAATACCTGGAGATGTACCAAGTAAGTAAAAACTAAATGCTCCTTCTGATTTTATTATTGCCTATTTTCTTGTATTTGTATATTTTGTTCTTACAGAAACTTTTTTTAACCTCATTTTGTTAAAATTTACATAATATTGAATAAAACTGAACATTTTGTCAACAGTAATTTCACATTTTTTTCATTTAAAAAAAAAAAAATAACTTAGTCTGACCTACATTTCAAAGTTTAAACAAATATCAGTTCAAGAATTTTTCACTAATCTAAATAAAAATAGGTTTTAAATCATGACATTTCTAATATTAATTATTTCTCTAAATTTGACTACAAAAATAACTTTTTTTTATGTGTCTACACAAAATTTGTATTTCCTTCTTCCAAATAAACTGCCTAGAGAAAAAAAGTAATTTTCTGTCTTTGTTACATTAAATATACAAGCAAAAAAATCACTGATTGTTGTTTATCATTTTTATAGTTTTTTTTATGATTAAATTTAATTTCTTGTTTTCTAGGAACTAAGGAATTTGCCTGAATTCAAAGGATCTAGTTTAGATGCCATATTATTTTCACCGTCCACAGACAATGAAAGCCGTAGCAGTAAGAACATTGACCAAGCTAACCAGACTGATCACTTGCCACTTGATTAACCTCTAAGGATCTTGTGTTCAAATTATTTATCAGAAAAAAAACTTTCAAAAACAGATTCAAATTATTGGGAACCATAAAATCTGAATAATTTAAAAAACAATAATGTTCCTTGTAAAGGATGTGACCATGTCTTTCCTTTGACCTCAAATTCTTTTTTTTTTTTTTTTTTTTTTTAATCTGAATTTATGTTTTTGGCAAAGTATTGTATTGTCTCTTCATTGATTCAGACTAATTTCCTTATCTTTGTTGATTATACTTATCACAATATATTGGCTGCTTTACTCTTAGGCCTTTTTTATGTCTACCAGATTTCCTGGCATCAATTACATTTGTGAAAGTCTCCTTTTCAAACCGCATTTAGTGTGTCTCAAACACTACAAAAGGAAGCTTCAATATTATAAAATATGATAGACATCTAAATTGATGTGTAAAATAAGTGTGATATGATAAAAACAACAAAGAAAAAATAGTTTGAATGAATCACTATACAACAAGTCGACCCACCCCATTGAAAAAGAAGCTAAAAATATGTACTAATTGTGACCATAGTTTTCCAGCCTGGTTTTAAATTTAGTCTTTGGCATTGTTTTCTATCTCAACATATTGTGTATTTTGGAAAGAGGACAAAGGAAGGATTGTATACATTGTACATATATAAGTAAATACAGCCATTTATAGATCTCTAGGTAAAAAGATAATTTCTAAGTAGGTAAGTAGATAAATACAAAAAGGATGTTAATATATGGCACAATGCTGAAAAGTTTTTGGCCCAACCAAGTTCAGATGTTTAGTCATTTGGGTTGATTTTAGAAAAGGTGAATTGTTGTAGCAGAGATATGATGGCAGTTGTGTAAGACAATGATATAATTCGCAATGTGAGTCACCTTAGTTCATTTGATACAAATAAATACTCCAATAATTTAATATAAATGAACGCACTGCTTTGCTTTATAACTTTACTCAAATTACTTTAGCTATATTAATATATGCTTGTATATCACTTATAAACAATAAATTCATTACTTAACTTCTCCCTTGTTATCATAGCCAGTCAAACTGTCAGATACACCATCTTTTTGAGATTATATCTCATTCAAGGCTCTTTTACTCAGAATCTTGTTGGCAAACAGACTGCAAGGGTAATTCTGATTCAAAACTATTTATGAGAAACTGCACTATTTTTCTGCCAATGATGGCAATGCACAATTTAGATATTAAAGATGTTGGTAGCAATCAAGAACCATGATTGCTTACCTTCAAAAAAGACACATACAAAGAGAGAGAGGTTCTAACAAATGATGGAATGAAAATAAACATTAATTGTAGGTTAATAGAATTGCACCTAAATTGCATCTCAGAATATAAAAAAAAAAGAAAAATTATAATTTGAATAAGACTTACCAAATTCAATGTTGATCTGAATTTTGAGATTTATATTCATTGGTTCTGTATTTTTGATCATGTAATGGCACAAATCATTATTCATAATCTTGTATTTATTTGTAAATCTTAACTTTGATGAAGGCTAGAATGCAAACCAGTTGAAATAATAGCCACAATGAGGAAGGGTTGGGATATTAGTTTAAATAATATCTTAATATTTTTTTATTACATTTTTGAGTTATGGGAAAATTTGTCTTGTTGTTTATAAATATTTTTTTTTTTATGAATTCACTATTAATCAGAGAATTAAAAAAATACCAAAAACCACACTGATGCCTCAAAAGTTAAAATTATATTAGCTTGGTTAAAATATAGAATATCCTATTCATCAATTTCATTTGGATTCAGGGAATTTGTTTTAAATGTAAAGATTATATACTTTTTATGATCATGAATTTATGCAGTCTTGGACTGAATTGTAATATTTAATGAAAATAAACATTTTTGCAATCTTTAAATACTTCAGTCATCTTGCATGTTTTTCAACTTTTAAGACACACTTTAGATGTTGGTAGCAATGGCTAGCCATGATTACCTACCTTCAAAAAGTACACATACTAAGAGAGAGAGAGGTCCTAACAAATGACAATGAAAATAAACATCCTCTTGAGCCAGAGCAAAGTTAGTTATGTCCCTTTGAATTCAACATATTGCAGGCGAGAAATTGTACCTGTGAAATAAATATCCATTGTTTCTATTTGTATTTACGCATTAAAGTTATCTAATGTTGTATGATTTAGAAATCAATTTTCCTTATTAGTTTGCACGATTTTCTACTTATATGCAATTTAAATGTTTTTTTATAAGTTTAGTAATCACTATCCTCCATCATTAAATAGAAGCTTTATTAAAATTAAATTGTCCATTTTGATAATCTCACTAAAATGGATTTATCACATTTTATTTGTCCTCTGACTCATCTAGTTTTCTAATCAATTTTAAATGTATATTTTGCTGAAACCTAGGTGACATCTACAATTTGGCTCAATTATGGAATTAAGAGGTACCTCCACTTTTTTGTGGGAAAACAGCATAATGAAAAAGGCCCCAAACTTAATAAAAGTAAAGTATTATCGTCACGATGAAAGACAAACAAAAGTATTTTTTAATACTTTCTGAAACGTTTGAAATTTTAGTTAAATAAAATCTTGTTTTGTTTATGTCTTCACGGTGGCATATTGACTTTTTTTCCCGTTGAAAACATTGATTTGGAAATTTTTGTAAAAATCATTGTCCGATTTTAATTAAATTTTCAGGACTTATTCAAAAATGAATGAAATTATTTTTGAAATTTTTTTTCTCAGAAAATTTTGGTAAAAAATATTTATTTTTTATTTTTACATGTTACCCCTCCTTACTTAATTTCATGAAATTTCGCAAAAAAACTATTTCATTATTTTTTTTTTTAATTCGTTATGAGTCCGAAATCGCCTAATCTTTTTTATTCTTTTCAAACTTGCACTAACAGAATATCTGCTCTGAATTGAAAAATAATGAATGCAATAAAACTGACATTATTTAATTAGAAAAACTTTTAATTGCTTTTGAAAATGAGGACATTATATTGTCTGAAGAGATAAAATTTTTCTGATGAATAATGAATTTTTTCAAATTTTAACTATAATTTAAAATCATAAAATTCGGTGTTGAGCTATTTCTTGGATGTGATATAGTAATTAAGTGGAAACGAAATTTATGAATCCAAAATTGAAAAGATTAATAAACATAGTTACACTATTCTATTTTTAAAGTAGTTTTTTATTTATTTTTTTACTTAATTTGTTTCCTATTTTTATCTATGAAAGTTTAAACATGATATTATTATGAAACGGTACGTGATCTAAGAGTTTAGTCTCTTTACAGAGAAATTAATTTTAAAAAAATTTCATAGTATTTTAATTTTTTTAAAAAAATTTTGCATAAAGAATCTTCAAAAAGTAAATAAATTATTAGATAATTGCGGAAAATATGTTCATTTGTAAAAACAAAAAAAAACGGTTCACTTAGATTTCTTAAATTTTGTATCAATTCTAGCAACCCATATTAGCTGTCATTGCTTCGTCACTTATCGGCCATCCATTATCGCCTCAAACAATTATTTACCTGCTGCCCATGCAGTAAAATGTGGCACAAGGCCGAGTTTTAAAGTGGGATATCTGAGCCCATAGGCTCGGGCAAAAATTCCCTATAGACCACGTAAAAATGGAATCAGTTTCCCCGAGATGGGACTCAGCCCTTCGGCAGAGCCTCGTCTGAGGGATACCCTCTGACTTTATCACCTCTAATAAGCTATGATAAGCAGGACCAATCATTAAATAAATGGCTGTATATTGCTTTTTTATGTTATAAGTAATATTTATTTCAAATCAGATTAATTTAACTTTAAATTTTCTAATTTTACTCAAATATCGTGTCAGAAATATATTTTTTGAAAGAATTTTAAAATCGATAATTTTTTTTTTTTGCTTACAAATTTCTTAAAATTAAGAAAATGGCCGTTTTTAAGAATTTTATGAAATCAAAATTAAATTTGACATTCCAATTTATATAATTTCTATCTGAAATACATCAGAATATTTTGCTTACTGGAAATAATAAATTTAATCATTTACCTTTCAATTAAAGCTGAAATGAAATCTTTAAGAATATTTTTCATTTTTAAAAATTCATTTTAAACTCTTAAGTATTGAAAATTTATGCCGAAATAGTGGAAGTACCTAAGCTTTGCCATAATATGCTGCAAGAGAAATTGAAAATCTTTTTCTTGAGATAGGAATCTTATGCTAAAATATAAACTTCTGGCCAGCTTCAAATTATCATTTATACAATTATCTTTCTATAAAATAATTTATCAACTGCAAAACTGGATATCTGTGCTTGTTGGAAATGATGACACGGATAAAACAAGTGGAATATATTGCATTAAAACTCTGGTAGCTTAAAGATTAAACGGATTTATTTTTGTAGTTTAAGACAATAAATACATTCAGAATAATTGGCTAGAGTTACTGTTTATATTCCTTAAAAATGTGAACTTTTTAAAACGTATAGCTATGTTGAGCTTTAAATTGGCTGCTTAAATTAAATTTACATCAACCATTTAAACAGCTTAATCGGTTGAAACTAAACAGAATCTCCATTCTGCCCTCAAATTCCCTTCAAATCAAAAAAGGGGTTGAGAATCTTATACAGCTTAATATTCTTTTTTTTTTTTTCTTATTTCTCTAATAATGTTGTACAAATTGGGCCACTTAAAAATGTTAAATTTAGCCTAAAATTCTGAAAAACATTATATAAGAAACCTCAAAACTGTTGAGGCATTTTATCAATGTTGGCAAATTGAGATTTTTTTTTTTAATATGCTGATTAAATCATTCTACAAAACTATTAGGTAATGTTATAATTTAAAAACGGATTCATTAAATGAAAAAGTTATAGCAACTTGTAACGTGTGTAAATTGTGTAAGGGGAAGTAACTCTTTCAAATGACGGTTTTGAAAGTAAATCTCAAATTATTTGTCATTCACGCTTTCCAAAATTGTCGTAAGTGAACAATTATAAGGAAATGTAATTTTTAGTTTGGAGTAAATGTCAAAAAAAAAAAAAAAAAAGTTATTTTTGAAAACAAAAGAAAAACAATGAAATAGATTTTAGTAGCATTTCTCAAATGACAAGCAATACAAGCAGGAAAATTGTTCATTGATTTTACCAAATCTTAAACTTTTTTTTTCTCATTGACACTAAGAATTTGATTCTAAATGCCTGGATATCTATATATGGAATAAATATATAAACACACAATATAAATAGTGCATTATATTACAAAAAACGTATCTATTCAATTTCACCAATTGCGCATATCTTTCAGATCATGTCTCTCCACAATTTACTCTTATTGCTCTACCTTTCTTCATCCTTGTTTGTTCACTCAAACTTGTTGAGTTACTTTCTTACCGCTTTTTACCTTCAATATATCTTGTTTGATTCTCTAAGTCTATCTTTCTGTGTGTATATCAGAACAGATTCCAAAGTTATTTTTTTTACAATCTTGATGCGACTTCCAAACAAAAGTGCATAACTAGCTCAAAAACAGATCAAATATCCATTCATTGATCATTGAATTTGACAAATAATAAAATGTAACTGAGGTGTCAGCTATAAACTGGATTAGCTGAATCAGGAGGATTTGAATTTGATTGTGGGATTAAATCCCATGATTTTCACATCTTCAAAAACAAGGATAAATAGTAGACACATTGAAACTCAAGTGTTACAAAAGAATTTTACTTGAAAGTTTTTATTCAATTAAACAATATTTTACAAATGATCTTTATTTTTCAAAGTTGAAGAGGATTTTAGAATTTTATTTCACTTGAATTTTTTTTCACAATTGGGATGGGGGAAGAAAAAAAAGGAGTTAATAACAAGTCATGGGTGTTAACAGTTATTGGTTGTGTTAAAAATAACAGAAAATTTAAAAATCGAGCAAAACCAAACAATGGATTAAATAAACAATTCCAAAGCTAAACAAATATACGTTCTTTGTCTAAAGAGACTTCAATACAAAATACATAAAACTTTTTAAACAAGGGTACAAAATTTAATAATAGTGATAAAAATGGTCAACATGTCCATTTTTAATGCTATTAATAATTTAAACAAGAGGAAAGAGTAACAAAAAAGAAAAATTAGATTACATTGAAGTAAGTGATATTGCAATATGAAACATTTTGCTATCACCTGTAAATATTATTTTACTATGTTTTTATCGCTATTACAAAACTACTTTGCTTAAAGCTCATTGTTCTTAGCAATGATGATGTAAAAAGCAATATTATTTTACTTACTAATAATAGTCAACTAATCAAAACAAAGAATAATAATAGTAATGGATATTTATTAATTTTAGCATCAACGAGTAAAGGGTTTCCAAAATAGGGCACCCAGTGAGAGATAAACCAACTGGCATTCAAAGCTAGAAAGTTAACGAGACTATAAATTGTTTTGTAAGCAATGACAGGATGCTGGAAATTATATCTATCTTCTGATGTTTAGTCATTGGAATACTGATTTTTGCAAAGTGAATCAAGCCAAGAAGCCCTTCATACATTGTAGAAAACATCTTTATAAATAATGTAAAGATTTCTTAAGAAAATTTGCCTACTGAGTAAATAAGTTTAAAAAAAAAAGAAAGACTTAGATTTGAAATTAAAAGTTTCCTGTAGAAAAATGTGTAATCACTTTCATTTGCATAAATATATTTGATCAGGCATTGTATATTGGAGTCCCTAAAGTTTATAAAAATTGAAAGATTTGAAGATCACATTTTTCAATCAGGAGAGATTAATCAAATGGAAATAAAAAATTTAAAAAAAAGATTGTGCCATCCACATTTTCTTGCAATATGCAAATATTCAAGTTACACTCACAGGCACATACATGTGTTGGCTTTACTTTAATGTGTTTATGTGTATGTCTTTAATACATATTCATCAAATTTATTACAAATATTTTTTTTTTTTACATATAGAAAATTATGTGAGATGTTATTTTTGTTTCCTTATGCACTGAATTGTAGGAAGAAAAACCAAAACTGATTTACTTAATAATTTGTTAACCTCAAATATATTTTCTTTGAAACTCAACATTCATAAGATTTTTGCCTATATTCAAACATTTATAAACATTTGATTTGAAAGTTGAGAAGAATAAATTTGCAATAAGTATCCAACTCATCAAAGAAAATATTGAATTCAGTCTGTACATGTGCGGATCCAATTCCTTTTATGGCTCAACAAAGCTGATTAAGAAATACAACCTCTATCCCTTAACAGTTGTTAATTTACATACAGAGCCTAGATTTCCTAACCTAAATCTAACAATTATTATGAGACAAAGATAATAATAAATGAACTACAGATTTCATTTCTTTTCTGAGGCACTCTTTTGGTAGGAATGTTACAATTAGATTATTATACAAAGACAAAGGAAATTCTATATCCTTAGTTGAAATAGTGATTGTACATCATTTTTATTATTATTACAACTGCAAACATATATGCAGGCATCTTGTTTAAAAATCCATAGGGACAGCAGCCAATAAACTAGCTAAATAGGATGTCAAAAGTTTTTATCATTTAACATGGGAGGAAAAATTAACCAGTTGAAAGTTTGTACTAAAAAGCTTAAAAAATTAGAACAACTTTGAATTTACCTTCAATTTAAACCTTATTATATACAAAAAGAATAAATGATAATGAATCCTGTTGATTTTGATGATTATGATGACGAATGAAAAATATACTTTTGATTTTAAAAAAGAAAAACTCTTCATTTATTTATATTTTTTTTTTACTTGTCTTCAAAAAAGTAAATCAAATGCTTATAAAATCATTTAAAAAAGGCAAGGATTTTGTGTCTGTAGCTGTTTCCAGAGTAAAACTCTTTCATGGACTCCTTAAAAGACATTTCAGGCCTATTTGTGGATGGAGAGAGAGAGAGAGAGAGAGACTGCTTTTATGTGTGTCAGTAATGATGGTAGATGACTATTGAAATCATTCAGTAGGAGCAGCTAAAAGTTCAGTGTAATATTCTGGTCGATCTATAGAGAGAAGTTTGAAAATAAGGGGAATGCCAAATGTGACATTGATAGCTACAAAGAGGAAAGGAATAAAACTGTCTGTTAGTTCATATATTTGCATCTTTTTTATTTGGGGATCTTGCAAGTCCATTTGGAGTATGTGGCTTATAATGCGTCGGACAATTGGACGGAGAAGTTCTCCTGTCAGCAGCATAAGGGGCACACCTACCAACAGTCGAAGGAAACTGAGGCCAACAGTCATGAGGGTTGGTAAGTAGATTCCATAAGGTGTGGGTGGACTCTCTACTGCAAGGCCATACTGGTAACTGAGCCATGATCCCACAGAAATGCCAGCTGCAACACCTACAAGCAGAGTTGTATCCCTGCGTGCAGTGTTCCATTTGTCTACAGGAGGGTAGCAGATGCACATGATGAATGGAATTCCAATTGTGAAGATTGGTGCCAATGGATGTGTCACGGAAAAATGGTCAAAGTCATTTAGAAAAGGAAACAACAACGGAAACAGGAGACAAACACAAAGAATTCCAACAATCACATCCTGAAAAGAAAGAAAGGAAAATCTATTAAAAAAAAAAAAAAAAAAAAAAAAAAAAGCTCTGGTTGTGACAAGAATATTTCAACAGATTTAACACTGAGCATAATTTATTTTCATTTTGATAAAATCCTTAATGAAAAACCATATTTTGGAGAAATGTACAAACATTGAAAGCATCATGAAATGATCAGAAAAAGCATTTGACATGACAATATTTTTTTTTTTTTCAACAATTTCCTTTTTTTTTATTACACTTAATTCAAAGAATTTGTGAAAACCAATTGGATGTTTCAGTTTTTATGTATTTTCTTGTTAATGTTTCATTCCCTACAAGCATTTTCAAAACAACTGCAAAAAAAAAAAAAAAAAAAAATCTAAGGAAACATCATTATCATGGCAACCCTGCTTCTTAAAAACATTGAAAATAATGAAATTTTAATATATTAAAAAATAAATATCCATGAACAAATCAATGAAATTTGTACAGAAGAAATACGTTAAGATATAAATATGACAACTTGAAATAAGGGGAAAAATAAATAAATAGTGAATTTTATAATCAAAAAAAATATAATTTATAATTTAGGTGTTAAAGAAAGAAAAGAATTTAATTAAAATTTTTATTAAAATGTTTGACTGCTATTTCAATTTTATTATCTTAGCCAGAAAAGGTGATGCATTATAAAAACCAACTTAATCGAAGTGCAAAATCATAGCTGATTCAATAATACACACAAATAAGTTAAAGCAGAAACTATCAAATTGGATTTCATGTAGCAAATGGAAATTCAAACAAACAAACAAACAAACAACTTATCCAAAACTTTACAAATTTCCAGTTCACACTCATGGAAATTGAAGCACTCAGATTTGGATCAAAATTTGACAGTGGGATTACAAAACAAATAATATTACCAGTACTATCATCTGGAATTATAAACCAGTTAGTATTGTAGGCAATAAAATTATTACTGAAAGTTCTTGGACAAGATATTTTTTGAGTGGCACATGTCACATCCAAGAAGCTTTAAGCTAAAAAGTATCTCCATGCAAGAAAATATTTCTTCACATCTTGCAAAGCTGCTTATTGTCCACTTTGCCAAAAAAGATTTCAAGGACAACAGATCTATAAAATGGCTCCCACACTCTCCAATAGAAAACTTGTGATCCATCCTTAAAAGAGATGTATATGAGAATAGAAAACAATTTTCAAGCAAAGAAAATCTCTAGATGGCAATAAACACTGATGCAAATAATGTTAAAGGTCCAAAGAATAGAAATGTTTAAAAAATAAATGGTAGAATGACTAATGAAGGTTATAGAATGTCTAGGAACCTATATTAACATGTAAAATTAAAAAAAATTATTTGCATCTCTGGGGAGTTGCTTTTTAATTGTTTCCAGGGCCAATATCTCTTGGATTGATTTATAAATAAAAATTCATGGTGGACTTATTTTCTATCGCATTTTATTAGGCAAACTAAGAACGTAGGCAAGATTTTAACAAAGATAAATTCAGTGTTATTGAGATAGATAGCAACAATGACATATAAATAGATTGGATGAAATGTTGCATTTAAATATAGATGCAAATCATTGGAAGATATTTTCTATCATTTTAAATGACTATTCTTGTCAAATTGTTGTTAATGTAAAGTAAAATTAAAATGAAAAAAAAAATTGCAACTCACCAGAACTGAGTGCATTCCAAGATAGATCCGACTGAGGGAAACAAGCATTGTCCATGTCAAGGCTAAAAATAAACCAATTAGAAAGGGAAACTGAAAAAAAGAAAAGAAATTATTGAGAACATTTGGTTGCAGCTTATGAGAGAAAAATGTGGATTTTTGGATTATTTAGAAAATCTTTAATACTTTGGATTTATCAAAAAAAAAAAAAAAAAAATAAAATAAAAAAAAAAATAAAAAAAAAATAAAAAAAAAAATAAAATAAAAAAAAAAAAAAATAAAATAAAAAAATAAAATAAAAAAAAAAAATAAAAAAAAAATAAAAAAATAAAATAAAAAAAAATAAAAAAAAATAAAATAAAAATAAAAAAAAATAAAAAAAAAAATAAAATAAAAAATAAAATAAATAAAATAAATAAAAAAAATAAAAAAAATAAAATAAAAAAAATAAAAAAATAAAATAAAAAAATCTTATTGCAATCCTACCTATGATAGCTATGGGGATCAATTTTCCTCTCTCTTAGAAAAAATTATTTCATGTAATATTTCTTTTTATTCAGTTGATTTAAGACTTATGGGGGAAAAGATATCTATCTCAGAACAATGTTAGGAAAATCACTGACAATGTGGAAAAATTTTTCCTGTGACACATCTTGTCGCTCATCAGACTAAAGTGATGTTTACATTGATGTGACTACACATACACCTGAAGGAGAGAGAAACACTGAAATTTTAAACTTTTAAACAAATTGAACATAAGCAGCAATCCCACTTCAAGCAACTCTTTGTGTGACATTTTGGGAATTCTTGCAACATTTGAAACTACTACTACTACTACTACTACACACTTAGACTACAGTTAAGTATAAATGTAACTTTTATATGAACTGGGAAACGAAAAGAATAGCGTCATTCGCTTCATTGCAGTTGTCTGGAAACCAGCCCATATCTGCAAACCCCAAAGGTATGCCTGTAATTTTAGAAAAAGAAAGGGGAGGGGGATAAAGGAAAACAAAAAAAACTTTGTTTGAAAACTTGGTATATTGCTACAATCAGTTGATTTGACTTATCTCTGTTCAGGGCTAAGAGATTAATTATTACTTATGATGGTTTCAACCTGTTACAATAAATGCTTTATTAATCATTGGATAAAATCTCAATGTTTAATCATCATTCACCTTGGAAGAATTTAACACAAGATTATCTGAGTTAGCCTCTTATTATATTTTGTTGGCTAATTTTATTTCATTACATTATTAATATAAACAGAAGGTAAACAATTGCATGAAAAGGACAATTACCATATTTTCCGGCCTGAAAGATGCACCCTAATATTTCTAAGAAAAAAAAAATAGTCATTCTCATACAACACATTCGCTATGTGTCCCTCGCATACTGGCACCATGTATTGTTTACATTAATCACTCGTCCAATTTTGTTTGCATGGCAATGACCTACTAGTCAAGAGCTTAAAGGCTCCCACTGCTGCTAGTAAACAAAGCGTTTAAGCTTGTGGCTCAGCTGCAGGAAGGTTTATAGTCTTGGAAATACTTGTAACAGCTAAGGACTGAGGTTACATAATATGGCTGAATTATTACAGTGTAATGACTCAACAAATCCACGTCCCTATCAATCAAGCCAATTAGGTAACCATCCAAGCTTACTTGAGTCTGGGTGTTGCCTTACATTCATCTTGGAAGATGCACACGTATTTTTCAGGGTATTTTTTTAGGAAAAAAGTGTGTCTTGTAAGCCAGAAAATATGGTATTTACCCTTTTATAGTTTAAGATCAAAGCATATTACATATTTGCATCATAAAACAGTGGGGGGGGAAAAAAAAAAACCAAAAAAAAAACCAACATACATCTGAATATTAATAATTCTATTTTGCTCAGCTTTGACTTTAAAAATCTTAAATGTTTAACAATCTAAGCAAATAAGACAATTTTAAAATATATTAAAAATTACAATAAATCCACAATTAAAACTTCCTATAAAATATTTTACTTTTCATAGTTTAATGTCTGGAACAAAAGTGAAATGCTCTGAAACAAGTCCCTATAGAAATTAAATTAAATTTTTCAAAGTTTCCTCCCCAACTCTTGTTAAGAAAAATCCAATGTGGATAGTTCTGCAATACAAAAAAAAATATTGTAGAACAACAGAGATATGGTAACGGCTTTTTAGAAATCACAACAAAAAAAGATTGAGTACCAACAGAGGAAAATATTGAACAAAATCTCTGCCTAATTTCTGTTTGAATTTCTGAAATGACGAGACATCATTATTTAAAGTCAGACTAATGTCCCCATCTTTGCTGTTATTAATAGATAAAGCAGGACATTAAAGAATTGGGTACTGAATTAGGTAATATTGTAATTGTGAGTTCAATCCCTGGGCCAGGTAGTACAGACTCAATTAAACAAAGCAAACAATAACTGAGCAGTACTAAATAAGAATAAGATATCCCTAGACAAGGACAGAAAAACAAGAACAATCTACTCCTGTAAATCAAGTGCTAGTACTCAGTTCAAAATTCTCTAAAGGTTACCTGGATTGACAGACACCTGGGCACACAAAGGATGAAACATTGTGATAATAACAACAAAGATGAGGACATCAGTCTGAATATAAACAAATTCAATGCATAATAATATTATGAAGTGATGAGGAGTCAATGTGGTCGATTTACTGAAAAGCTACTTAAAGTGAAATAGTAATTCTTTTTACCTGAACTCATGAAGTTAATGAACTTCCTGAAGTATTTTAAAAACACTAAAAATATTAAGAAAAAAAATTCTAGTCCAAAACCAAAATTGAAAAGAACATATGAGAATCAAATCCATACTGATTAATTTACTGTACATTTCCACATATAAGGCGACCTTTAGATAAGACAAGATAAAAAATATAGCAAATTTTCATTAAAATTAATGAAAATTTGCTATATCATACACCTGTAGTATAAGACAACTACTTATTGATTATATAAAGATGATGTTATTGGAAATAATGTTACTTACTGTAGTCTTAGAAATTCAAAATCAACAAAATAACAAAACCGATTCTATATCATGCTTTTCCTAGACATGTCCTCTAAAAGGGGAAACCATTGTTTTGTTTACATTTCATCACATGGTCTCTTGAAAATACTGATTATTCTTTTTTTACTATATCTAAACAGTGACATACATCCTGGTATGCTAATAGCCATTTACTTTTTTAATAAAAAAATAAATATTATGTTATCCTAAATGTTATTATTACTGTAATTAACACTACCATGATGATTACAGAAAGTTTAGAGAAAGATAAAGGTTGCTGTGAACACAATCATAACTCCATGTTTACATTTTCTCAGCTGAGCTTGTATGGATATAAGTTACTTCCACTGATATGAAATTATTTTCCAAAAAGGCAATTTATTATGAAGTTATGTCAAAGTAGAAATGGTTTTATTAGTTTTATTATCAGTTTATTTAATAAGGTGAATCTTTTCATGTACATTATTAATTATCACATTGAGGCTGAGATTAGATTACCAACAAACATCACTTAGAATTTAAAGTTTCTTTTTTTTTAGAATTCTAAGATGACCCCCAATTTTTAGGGATGATTTTGGGGATTTAAAGGTCGTTTTATATGTGGAAATATATGGTTTATAAATTATAATATTACAGAGTGTGAAAAGAATGTCTGGAGTAAAGATATTATCTGCTTTTTTTTTAAATATGTTTCTATTGTGCAACAACCGTTTGTACTCGATCAGCATTTGAGAAAGAATATAACTCATCAAGTGTTAAATCCATAAGAATTTCTTGACATATATAAAAAGAGTTCAAGCATGTAAAGCCCAATGAATCTAGATTGAGTAGAATGCCTTTACTTATAAGTTGACAAACAACAGAGAAAGAAAAAAAATCTAACATATGGACTGAATAAAGTAAAAGTGATTATAAATCTTTTAATCCCTCCATAATACCTATCTATATACCTAATTAATTATTAACATATGTAAGTAAATATACAAGTAAAATCTTTTTGATCCTCTCCTTTAAATGTGTGAGATGTATTCTTATACTTACACTATTTACATTGTTCATACTATTGTCCTCATCTTTATTGCCATATTCACATTTCAACCGTTGTATGCTCCAACCGTCTTCAGAAATTTGTTGAAGACGAGGACAATAGTTCGAACAATGTACATAGTGTAAATATTTACAATACATCTCAGAAGTATAGACAGATATTGTTATACATTAGTAGATTTTAAACCCAATATTACCATGATATTTTCCTTTTAACGGATATCTCTAAATATCAAGACATTGTGTATATCAAATAGAAGTTAGGAAATTTGATGAGTGGAAAATTTAAGAGGAAATAAAAAGTAGAAAAGAAAGAAAAGTCATTGAAGAAAGAAAAGAAAGAGAATAATTGGAACAGTCTTATTTTGGATGAACAATTCTAATTAAATTTGTTGTAATGAGTAAGAAAACTAATTTAAAACAATTAGAAAATCTAATGATTATAAAAGGCAGTGGATGTGTACAGGTAGTGTAGTGGTTATTAGTATGGAAATCAGAATTGACAAGCAGAGTTTAATTTCCAGCCTAGCATTCTAGTTTGCTTTTGAACAATAATACCCTTGGGAAATTCATCTAGTTTCCCTAGGTTCTAGCCTTGATTGGCAACCAGTCTTAGAAAAGGAAAACACTGATTAAAAAAAAAAAAAAAAAAAAAAAAAAAAAACTTGAGAAGGCAACTGGAAACTATGCCATTATCTTTCTTAAGAAGACATGCCAATTCACAGATAAAGAAAAACAGAATCTGTGGACAGTCATAAATGTCTACATCCAGAAGGGATATGGCAAATTCTATCAGTCCATGTGACTGAAAGCCCTCTAACTCAGACCACACTTACTCTACATAGACATATAGCTTTTTGGAATCAGGATGAAAATCTGCTCTTCATCTGGTGATTTGGGATTTATGTCTGGATAAGGAGGGAACAGTTAAAAATTCAAAGTTTAAAATAACTAAAAAAATTAGTGATTTTAAAAGTTTTTAATTTATATTGAGTTTAAAG